CAAAAGTTCTAGTATCACTGCCAATATTTAGCCCCAAGACAATAGATACTGAACAGCATTACAAGTTGTTTGGATCTTTGATACCATTATCCACCACAACAGAAGAAAATGGTTACAAACTGAAGAAACCAGAGACACCAACTAGGGAACTCCTGGAAGACCCCGAACTTATCACCACTATAAATACTAATTATAAAGAACTCCGTAGTGTTGCCTGTCTCAGTGAAGAAGAAATCTGGACAAGTGGAGTAGACAGTGATATGAAATGTTTTAACATCCAAGGTTCACTTACCAAGACAATCGGAACAAAAACAGGAGAGTGGCCTTATGATATAGCAGTGACAATTGATGGGGCTTTAGTTTACTCTGATTGGGAAAGAAAGACCATAAATAAAGTGAAGAATGGACAGACAGTGGAGATGATCAGACTACAGGGCTGGCGACCTTTACAACTCTGTGTTACCTCCTCTGGTGATCTCCTGGTTACCATGTACAGAGATGATTATTTCTTGGTTTCTATATTTCCTAGACCACGGTCCAAAGTTGTCCGTTACTCAGGCTCCACAGAGAAACAAACAATCCAGTTTGATGAGGAGGGTAAACCTCTGTATTCAGGAAATAATACAACTAAGTGCATCAGTGAGAACAGAAACCTAGATATCTGTGTGGCTGACCGGGAAGCTGGTGCTGTAGTAGTGGTCAATCAGGCTGGAAGACTCCGATTTAGATACACTGGTCATCCTTCTGCTACAAAAAACAAACCATTTAAACCCCGCAACATCACAACAGACAGCCAGAGTCAGATCCTGACAGCAGATCGTGATAACCACTGTATCCACATCCTAGATCAGGATGGTCAGTTCCTCCGTTATATAGATAACTGTGGTCTGAGGGAGCCATTTGGTTTATGTGTGGACAAAAAAGACAATTTGTTTGTGGCTGAGTGGAGTGGAAAACTTAAGAAAATTAAATATCTTAGATAGACATGTATTTAGGTATATAATGTGGACACCCTTTTTTAAAAAAGCCTAAAAGGTACTCATCTATTAGTTTTATTTTATTAAAATTTACAAACTTATGTTCATTACAAACAGTCTTTAAGGGACTCCGACCCTCAGCCAGGAAGGACGTGTCTTTAACTTATAATTTCATTACAAAATTCTTTAAATGAAGCTTGGAAATTAAATTTTTTCATGCAAAAATTTTCATTATATGCCTCTCAATGTGCTTCAAGGTTCTTTGAACATCTCAGAAAGGTCTAATTAAAAGAAGACATTTTTATCCCGTAAAAGCATTTTTAGATACCAATGTTTATTAAGTTAACATGATATGAAATAAGAAGTGATTTATAGAGCTTTGCAAAAACCTTGAAGCACATTGAGAGGCATATAATGAAAATTGTTGCATGAAAAAATTTAATCTTCAAGCTTCATTTAAAGACTTTTTGAATTAAATTATAAATTAAAGAGTTGTCCTTCCTAGCTGAGGGTTGGGGTCCCTTAAAGTGCCATTCTTCCTTTTGAAAACATATGCTATCTATACTACTATATTGAAATAATAGACTCAAATTTTTGGCCTTTAATTACGATAAATCGGAAGAGTACTGTCTTTTGTTTTATATATTTTAAAACATCATTGGTACTTGAAGATTACCAGTTTGTTTTTTCCCTCAATTATAAGCCTATTAATCAAAGAAAATTACAAAACAAAATTCCAGATAACATCTAGATTTTTTTTTTATCTTACAATCCTGTGCATTGCATTGAGAGTGATTAAATGGGTAGTAAAACCTGGGCCGGGTCGGGAATGTATGTCTACATTTTGTAAATCTTTTCTTATGGTCAGTTGTATGAAGCCTCTAACCCTAAGTATCCTAAGACCCAAGTTGCATCAACTCACAAAGTTTGATGATTCTTAGCCAATTAGGACTGAAAATATTTTTAATAATAAAGCTATAAAAAAAACATAAGTACATCACAGTGACCTATATTAAGATTGAAGTTTTCTGAGGACTCAAGATGCATTTATAAACAAAGATTGAAGATTCTAAGCCAATTAGTATTTGAGATACTTTAAAGTAGGTCACTGTGACCTACTTTTTTGTCTACATTCTTTGAAAACCCAAGATACATCAACTGACAAAGTTTGATGATTCTAAGCCAATAAGTCCTTGAGATATTCAAAAGTAGGTCACCATGACCTACTTTTTGGTCGACATTCTCTAAAAACCAAAGATGCATCAACAAACAAAATTAAACCAGTTAGTACCATAGATACTTAAATAAAACCATAAAATGTCAAAAATTAGGTCACCATGACCTACTTTTTGGACATCATTCTCCGAAAACTTAAATAAAGCCATAAAATGTTAAAAGAAGATCACCGTGACCTACCTTTTGGTCATCACTCTCAGAAAACCTAAGACGCATCAACTCACAAAGTTTGATGATTCTAAGCCAATAAATGCCTAAGATACTTAAATAAAGCCATAAAATGTTGAAAGTAGGTCACAGTGACCTACTTTTTGGACATTATTCTCCGAAAACCCAAGATGCATCAACTTACAAAGTTTGATGATTCTAAGCCAATTAGTACCATAGATACTTAAATAACTTACAAAGTTTGATGATTCTAAGCCAATTAGTACCATAGATACTTAATAAAGCCATAAAATGTCAAAAGTAGGTCACTGTGACCTACTTTTTGGTCGTCACTCTCCGAAAACCCAAGACGCATCAACTCACAAAGTTTGATGATTCTAAGCCAATAAATACCTATGATACTAAAATATAGCCATAAAATGTTGAAATCATCGTGACCTACTTTTTGGTAGACTTTTTTCAAAGTCAAAAGATGCATCTGCTGACCAAGTTTGATGATCCTAGGTCTGAAGGTAATCAAAATATGCATTTTAGACAATTCAAAAACAAATGCCTGCAAATTTCATAAAGGAGGTCACAGTGACCTACTTTTTCATAAATATGTTTTAAGGTCTCAAGATGCATCAATTTTCAAGATTTGATAATTCTAAACCTCTCAGTGTCTGAAATAATTGGATTAAATGTTTTAAAAAGAATTAGTCATAAAGTTCAAAAAGTAGTTCATGGTGACCTACTTTTAACCTGACGTTGTTCAAGGACCCAAGATGCATCAACTGACAAAGTTTGATGATCATAGGCCTTAAAGTGGCCAAAATATGTCTTCAAATCAATTTGAAAACAAATGCTTACAAAATTTAAAAAGTAGGTCACCATGACCTACTTTTGAGTTAACATGATGTGAAGTCCTGAGATGCATCAACTAACAAAATTTGATGATCCTAGTCCTAATAGTAAGCAAAATATAAACGTTTTTATTATTTGTAAATTTAGGTCAACTTTGAAGTGACCTTGAGACCACGCCCTTTGCCCCAGGGTCATGCCTTGAACAATTTTTAATCTTCAACATATCCTGATCCTTGTATGTAAGTTTGGTGAAAATCTGCCTGGTGGTTCTGGAGAAGAAGATTTTTTAGCAACCAGTACTTTTGGTTTTGTTTTCCTGATTATCTCCCCTTGTTTAAGGGTCCCAACCCTTATTTACCTATAAAGGGTAGCCCTTGGGCCAAGGATACCCTGTGACAAATTTGACACCGATTGGCCAAGGGGTTCTTGAGTTATGGCCCATATTCTAAAAAGTTAATGCACACCGCACAAATGGCCATAGCATTAGCTCTTTGAGCCTTTGGCTCAGAAGAGCTAAAAATAAAACGTGTTTTGATCTTCAGAAACAGAGCTTTCATTATGTATTTGCATATTTTGGATCAGAGGTTGTGCTCTACATGAAATATTGAAAAAATGCTTCAATTTTAGGTCATTTTCTAAGGAATTTACAGGATAAGAGGAAAATGACGCATTTCATAACGTCATAATGCATTGACTAGATGGGAAATTACGTCATAATTAATAGATCCGTGGTCACCAACACTCCAAGTGATAAATACTGCATTTGCAACCTAAACTGAGGGCTTTGATTTTTCAGAAATTCTCAGGGTCAAATAAGGCCCAAAGTGGCTCTTGCTCTTTCTCAGAGTGACCTTGATGTTAAGTATCTTCACAATGTGATAGCCTTAAGAATATGACAAGGCTTGATGCAGGTATCATTATAGAGAAATTTTCGAATTATAACCATTCTAATCATCGCCATTTTCACAATACCGCCATGATTTCCCACGAACGTTTTTCCTGCTAAATAAAATTCTCTTTATAACGCCAAATTGGCATACCGCCATCCACCACCCTGTTTTCACAACAAACGTCCATTTTTAAGTGTCAATTATCTCGATAATACCGCAACAGGTGGATGTGGTAAGTGAAGTGCGGCTACTTGGTTGACGTTATTCCTATTGTAAAGCATGCAAAGCAAGACGAGGTACATGCAATTAAATAATTAAATAAGAATTAAATAAACGATAATTTTAACATGAACTGTTATAATAATTTGATGTTTGTTTAATGAAAATCATCTAGTCATGGTTTCGCCATGAAAGCAGTCATTGTTGAAGTACGCCAAGAACGATATAATTTTGATCTCTGCTTTAACCAATATTTGCTTAATAAAATAATTATACGGTATAAATGGTGAACGTTTCATTAACAATGATGCCATGAACAATAAATTTATTCAAGAATTCATTTTTACGTACTATCGGCAATATATCACGACGATAGACTCAGCATGTTTTTTTCCAATATCAGACGTGCATATTTACATGCATACAAACGTACTTGTCTTTATTTCATTATTGCACATTTTGTTTTAGCGAAATTGTACATAACAAAATTATTGAAGTATTTTTAAATTTAGAAATATGTTTTTATATACGTACTTGTACATGTAATAATAAGAATAGAAATGTTAAATGGTATTTCTAAAAACGGTAACTCTAAAAGATGGAATATTCAATTCATCGCCAAATTCATTATTCTGCCATGATTTCTAAATTACAAAAGGTGGCGGTTTATCGAGAATAAATTGTATATAACATTACTAAGTCAAAGCTTTATGTCCAAACAACACATACCTGCAAATGGATCACTGTCGAATCCCCCCAGCTGTTGACTGGGGCTGGGGGTGGGTCTGTTTTTGGGAGGGGCGGGTCTTGGGGGAGGCTGTTTCTTCTGTTTGGGGGGCAAAGCCGGAGCTGGTGACTTGGGTCCCAGAGAAGGTCGAGAAGGGGATTTTGGTGCAAAAGGGTCACCACCAAATAGATTGTCTGGTTTCTGTTACAAAAAAGAATCTCAAGGGGAATTATAATTTAAAATACTAGTACCGATATACTGTATCTCTATTTATAAAGATCAGCAATTTATGATTTTTTTCTCTACATATATAACCTATTTCATTCATTGATTAAGCCAATGAAGAGACATCAGGAATACTAAACTGTTTTTTCTTACACTTGGTTTTGTGCTGGATCCTCCTTTCCCAAAAGGATCAAAAGCATCTAGTTTGGAATTATCTGTACCTCCAAATGATGCAAATGGGTCCACACTATTAAAGGGATCTTCCTACAAAACAAATAAGTATATTAAATGTTAGAATTTCAATAATGTGAATTGATATGAATCTTTTCAAGCACTGCCCCCCCCCTTTTTTAAATAAATTTATGAAGAGGCAGTTTAGTTAGCTTAAGTTAATATTTTTCTTTTCTCCTAATCTTTGATAATACATGTACCATGAATCTACTGAGGACACTTGCTACTCATGTGAATCAGATCATTTGCAATGTTTTTTATGAATAAAATTCCTGTAAATAAAGAAGAAAGGGGGAAAAGTACAGCTAAAAAATATGGACAACATAAAAATTTAAGTGCCTATATCCAGAGGTTAACAATAAAGTGAAAGTGCTGACCTTTACCATCTTGGAGGAACTCTCGAATGTGTCGGAGGATTTAAATGGATCATCAGACGAAAATGGATCGGAACCAAACGAGGATTTAAAAGGATCACCACCTACAACACAGGAATAAAGAATACGTATCATGTGATCACCATCTACAACACAGGAATAAAGAATATGTAACATGTGATGGCATTTAGGATTTAGGTCCAGGAAGTTTAATTTCTTGACATTCAAATAACTATAACAAATTTCATGTTTTAAGACAATAACATTAATTGAAAACTTAGTTTTGGCAAAAGTCAGTTGGAAAGGTATGTTGGCCATGTGCCTGAATATGACTTTTTTCTCTATGAAATCTCAAAACTATGAAGTATGAATTGCTATAGTATTCAGAGAAATGCTTTTTCCTAAAATGGCTAATATTAAGTTTACAGGTAAAGTTCCCTTCCTTAACGACGTTCGATCCTGATATTTAAAGTCTTAAACTTTTTTTGCCAAGTATATTTTTAATTTCTATATACATTGCTTAATTAAAATTCAAATCAAAAAATGGGGGTCAATGCGCTTCTTTTTGCGCTACAGTACATTTAATATGACCTTTCTGCACTGAAATTTGTGTCTTAATCAAGATTAAATTTTTGACGATTTCCCTCCAATGTTATTATCCAATTAAAGCATGAAACAAAATGAACTCTTAATTTGATTAAAAAAAGAACTTTTAAATTGTGACTAAGAAAAAATTTCAAATTGCTTCGCATAATCAATTATTTGACCCTTCTGCACTAGTAAAATGTGATTTTTCCAGCATTGAAAATTTTTAAGCAAGAAAATAATTTTAAAGTCTTAAATTTTTTCTGATTTTGAGCAAATAGGTCAAAGGTATCTTGAATATTTAGAAAAGAACATCAAAAGTGGGGGTATATGATAAAAATTTTCCGACATAACTAAACCAGAAGTCTCTGTCGAGACTGAAGCTCTACTGGTTTGTACTTATAGCAAAAGAAGAGAAAAGTACTTAGGCAGTTGGGAATTGAAACTTTTCAACAGCAATTAATAGAAAAATGATCCTTGATTTCGTCTCTTTATGTTTTAGTGTAGTCTACTTGCATGCCACATCACATTATAATCAGACTAAAACTGTATTTGGAGTAGCATTTTGAGTGTATTAAACAGAAATTTCTATTTTTAGTAACCGTGGCAACACCGTTCACTGAAGTGAAAAACTATACACAGAATTATGTACCTTAGTGTAGTCTACTTGTGTGCCAAGTTATATTGAAATCAGACCAAAACTGTAGGAGGTGTAGCATTTTGAAATAATTTCACAGAAATTTTTATTTTTAGTAACCACAGCAACACCGTTCATCGAAATCAAAAACCGATATACAGAATTATGTATCTTAGTGTAGTCTACTTGTGTGCCAAGTTACATTGAAATCAGACCAAAACTGTAGGAGGAGTAGCATTTTGAAAGAATTTCACGGAAATTTCTATTTTTAGAAGCACGTCAACACAGTTCATCGAAATCAAAAACTGATAAATAGATTTAAGTACCTTAGTGTGTTCTACTTGTGTGTCAAGTTATATTGAAATCAGACCAAAACTGTAGGAGGAGTAGCATTTTGAAAGAATTTCACAGAAATTTCTATTTTTAGTACCCACGGCAACACCGTTCATCCAAATCAAAAACCGATACACAGAATTATGTATCTTAGTGTAGTCTACTTGTGTGCCAAGTTATATTGAAATCAGACTAAAACTGTAGGAGGAGTAGCATTTTGAAAGAATTTCACGGAAATTTCTATTTTTAGTAACCACAGCAACACCGTTCATCCAAATCAAAAACCGATGCACAGAATTATGTATCTTAGTGTAGTCTACTTGTGTGCCAAGTTATATTGAAATCAGACCAAAACTGTAGGAGAAGTAGCATTTTGAAAGAATTTCACAGAAATTTCTATTTTTAGTAACCATGGCAACATCGTTCATCGAAATCAAAAACCGATATACAGAATTATGTATCTTAGTGTAGTCTACTTGTGTGCCAAGTTATATTGAAATCAGACCAAAACTGTAGGAGGAGTAGCATTTTGAAAAATTGTTTACAGACGGACAGACAGACAGACGGACGGACGACGGACGCATTACTATCGCATAAGCTCTTCTGGTCTCTGACCAGTAGAGCTAAAAAGTGTCAATTTTACGTTAAAATTGACGAAATTTTTTCCCGGGTTTTCGGAATATATTTTCTATATTTGTCACACTTTGTTGAAAGAATTCATCAGAAATAATTCAATAGATATTTCAGAACCAGCATAACACATTTCACTGCAAAAAACAGCTTTGTGTGCAACCAGCATGGGACAATAGGAATCCAAAATTAAAAGTACTGTTATAGTTCAAAAGGGGAAAAACTGATCATTTTCATCTAAAAAACCTTCCGCAACAAAATATAGTCCCTAGCTTAATTCTACTTAAATGAAATTTAAGCACGTATTTTTCATTGAATATACAGACACCTGCCATAAGTATTCGGTCAACATGGCGACTTGTTTACGCTTGAAAACGAAAGTACATACTTCGAGTCTCCTGTTTTTGTATGTACACGTCATCGATGACGAATTGTCGTAAATTTAGATTTTTAGTCACATGATGTATCACATGATAATTTGTTGTCGTCTGTAGTTAGCACAAGTTGTCAGAATTACGAATTTTAAAATATGGGTAGAAAAGGACAGGAGCTTGGGGTGGAGGCGAAAAATATCATTATAGATTTGATACAGAGTGGTCTTTCACGTCACAAGGTCAGTGATATGTTGAAAATCCCAAAATCAACAGTTATCGATGTAGCACGAAAGTTTTTTGCCACAGGGTCAGTGGAAAACAAACCGAGAAGTGGGCGGCCGGCGAAAATGAAAGAAAGGGATTACCGTGGTTTAGAAAGGCTTGTGAAAACGCATCGTCGGGAGTCTTTAAGTGATATCACATCAAAATTTAATGAAGGCAGGACTAATAGTGAAACTGTAAGTAAGCGGACTATTCAGCGTCATTTGCATAATCATGAATATAGAAGATGTGTTAGTAAGAAAAAACTGGTTGTGAAGGAGGTTAACCGACGAAAGAGACTGGCATGGTGCAGAGAGAAAAGGCGATGGACAGTTCAGAATAACTGGAATAAAGTTATATTTTCAGACAAGAGCAAGATAATGATTGGACACGACCAGCGGGTTCATATTTGGCGCAAGAAGAACGAAGGTTGGAGACCCGATCTTGTTCAACCCCGGACATCGCAACCCAGGTATGAAGTTATGATATGGGGGTGTATTTCTTGGAATGGCGTTGGGACAATTACACCGGTGAATGGAAACATAAATGCAGAAAAATATCAGGACATTCTGGAAGAGAACCTGTGGCCAGTGATTGCTCGACATTTTCCTATGGGTGGATATTTTTTCCAGGACGACAATGCCCCCGTTCACCGAGCAAGGTCTACTCAACAATACATTGCCCGGAATGGAATAAATTGCATAAGTTGGCCTGCCCAGTCGCCTGATATTAACATTATTGAAAACCTTTGGCTATTGATAAAAAGAAAACTTCAGACACGCATTCCCTTCATTAAATCTAAAGACAATCTCGTGGAGGAAATTCAGGGCATCTGGACAAGTATCCGACCTGACTATTTTCAGAACCTCTACAAGTCCATACCAAACAGAATTTTGAATGTAATCAGGCTCAAGGGACATCTTACGAAGTATTAACAAGTAAGTTTAACATAATTTTTATTTTTTATTACTTTATTCCATTACAGCGAATGTTTGAAATTTGACACTTTCGTTTTCAAGCGTAAACAAACCGCCATGTTGACCGAATACTTATGGCACGTGTCTGTAGTTCAATTTGCATTGTAGAATTCAGATTTAATGTTAGAACTTAAAAATGATGCAGAATTTTATAAATAATGGACATGACCAAATTCCACTCAAAAACTCAGGATCCAACGTCCTTAAATGGATCAGATTTAGAAAATGGGTATATTCAAGTATACAAATAAATGTACCTTCTTTAAATGGGTCATCTTTAACATACAGATAAATGTACCTTCTTAATGTGTCATCTTAAGTATACAGTTAAACATACTTTCTTTAAATGGGTCGTCACTCTGAAATGGGTCAGATCCTCCTCCACCTGTATCGCCCCCAAACACGTCCTTACTCTTAAACGGATCCTCCTTAAAGTCGTCCAAGGCTGACCCCGCACTGAAATTACTGATGGTACTGACTGGGCTTCCATACTGAAATCATATCACAGTTAATACTCTTATAATGATAAAGTTACTGATGGTACTGACTGGGATACCATACTGAAATCATTTCACAGTTAATACATTTATAATGATAAAGTTACTGATGGTTCTGCCTGGGCTACCATACTGAAATCATATCACAGTTAATACACTTATAATGATAACGTTACTGATGGTACTGACTGGGCTACTATACTGAAATCATATCATAGTTAATACACTTATAATGATGAAGTTACTGATGGTACTGACTGGGCTTCCATACTGAAATCATACCACAGTTAATACACTTATAATGATAACGTTACTGATGTTACTGACTGGGCTACCATACTGAAATCATATCACAGTTAATATACTTATAATGATAAAGTTACTGATGGTACTGACTGGGCTACCATACTGAAATCATATCACAGTTAATACACTTAAAATGATAAATTATTTGTACTTACAGTAGACCTAGTACTGAGATCTTGTACAATATATTAGTACTTACTGTCGCCCTAGTACTGAGATATACAATGTATTAGTACTTACAGTAGCCCTAGTTCTGAGATCTTGTACAATATATTAGTACTTATTATTATACTTCTGTTAAAATGTTTCCTACATAATGTTCAGAAGGTAAAATAGCTATCTTTTATAGTTCACGCATAGCAAAGCTATACTCCGGGGTATAGTTTTTGCTATCCACCCTCGGAAAATTTTCATGCAATTTTTGCCTCCAATTTTGATTTCAAGTAATAAATCTATCGACTGATGATGTGATAATGACTTCAGTAGCATTGTGACGTCATCAGGTTTTCAGATTATTCTTGCAGTATTATCATACTCCTAAAAAATTCAAACCTCAGAAATTATATTATACATCAGTATAATAAAACACTTATCCATTGGGTGTGAGTGGGATAGCTCTTTTATCAAACCCTTGACAGAAACTATTCCCCTCGGGCAAGCCCTGGGGGAATAGTTCTCTGTCGCGGGTTTGATAAAAGAGCTATCCCACTCACATCCAGTTGATAAGTGTATACTATAGCCCTAGTACTGAGATATACAATGTATTAGTACTTACTGTAGACCTAGTACTGAGATCTTGTACACTGTATTAGTTTTTATATAGACTGAGTACTGAGATATTGTACAATGTATTAGTACTTACTGTGGACCTAGTGAGATACTGTACACTGTATCAGTACTTACAGTAGCCCTAGTACTAAGATCATCCTGTAGCTGATTGGAGAAGATATTAGACACCTCACTGTTAACACTGCTATAACTGGCTATGCTGTGTTTTAACCCTCTCTCCTGATCATTCAAATGTTGCACTCTCTGACGAGTCTAAAATAAATACATATAAATTACAATTTTCATTTTTCTACATCCTGCAACAGTAACTTGAGTCACACGTTGAGTGTCAGTAACTTGATCAAAATCACTTTTTCTAAAATTGTCCATTGATTTTTAAATACTGTATAGGGGGAAAATAACTCGCGGTTTTAATATTCGCTATATTCACGGTGTTAATAAATCCGCGAATTCAAGAAACAGTGAATAAATTTTCAATAATAGCCATGTTTTATCTGGAAATTTGAGAATAAACTACGATAACATAGGCTTCTATACATGTTCGTGCAGTACATAATCATTTCAGTAATTACGAGTAGTACTTGTCATTCAATTACCAGTATTTTAACTAGAACTGTTCAAACGGGACAAAATACCCCCCGCTGACGAGTCTAAAATAAAAATATAGAAATTACAATTTTCATTTTTCTACATCCTGCAACAGTAACTTGAGTCACACGTTGAGTGTCATTAACTTGATCAAAATCACTTTTTCGAAAATTGTCCATTGATTTTTAAATACTGTATAGGGGGAAAATAACTCGCAGTTTTAATATTCGCTATATTCACGGTGTTAATAAATCCGCGAATTCAAGAAACAGTGAATAAATTTTCAATAATAGCCATGTTTTATCTGGAAATTTGAGAATAAACTACGATAACATAGGCTTCTATACATGTTCGTGCAGTACATAATCATTTCAGTAATTACGAGTAGTACTTGTCATTCAATTACCAGTATTTTAACTAGAACTGTTCAAACGGGACAAAATACCCCCCGCTGACGAGTCTAAAATAAAAATATAGAAATTACAATTTTCATTTTTCTACATCCTGCAACAGTAACTTGAGTCACACGTTGAGTGTCAGTAACTTGATCAAAATCACTATTTCTAAAATTGTCCATTGATTTTTAAATACTGTATAGGGGGAAAATAACTCGCGGTTTTAATATTCGCTATATTCACGGTGTTAATAAATCCGCGAATTCAAGAAACAGTGAATAAATTTTCAATAATAGCCATGTTTTATCTGGAAATTTGAGAATAAACTACGATAACATAGGCTTCTATACATGTTCGTGCAGTACATAATCATTTCAGTAATTACGAGTAGTACTTGTCATTCAATTACCAGTATTTTAACTAGAACTGTTCAAACGGGACAAAATACCCCCCGCTGGGTTTTTCAGAAGTACGTTTTTCCATAATAAAGATATGTATCAAACACGAATTATGAAATTTTTATTCCAGTGACCTTGAACTTCCCCAAATAACCTTTGGTCAAGGTCATGACACACCCTTGGGTCATTGGCAATCTTTGTGTGAAAAGAGAACCTACCAAGTTTATCCATAAGAAAGATATGGACCGGACTTGAATTATGACATTTTTCTTCCAGTGACCTTGAACTTCCCCAAATGACCTTGGGTCAAGGTCATGACACACCCTTGAGTCATGGGCAATCTTTGTGTGAAATGAGAACCTACCAAGTTTATCCATAAGAAAGATATGGACCGGACTTGAATTATGACATTTTTCTTCCAGTAACCTTGAACTTCCCCAAATCACCTTGGGTTAAGGTCATGACACACCCTTGGGTCATGGGCAATCTTTGTGTGAAATGAGAACCTACCAAGTTTATCCATAAGAAAGATATGGACCGGACTTGAATTATGACATTTTTCTTCCAGTGACCTTAAACTTCCCCAAATGACCTTGGGTCAAGGTCATGACACACCCTTGGGTCATGGGCAATCTTTGTGTGAAATGAGAACCTACCAAGTTTATCCATAAGAAAGATATGGACCAGACACAAATTATGATATTTTTCTTCCAGTGACCTTGAACTTTCCCAAATGACCTTGGGTCAAGGTCATGACACACCCTTGGATCATGGGCAATCTTTGTGTGAAATAAAAACCTACCAAGTTAATCCATAAGAAAGATATGGACCGGACAGGAATTATGAAAATTTTCTTCTAGTGACCTTGAACGTTCCCAAATGACCTTGGGTCAAGGTCATGACACATCCATGGGTCATGGGCAATCTTTGTGTGAAATGAGAACCTACCAAGTTTATCCATAAAATATATGTATCAAACATGATTTTTAAAATATTTTTGTTTTAGTGACCTTGAACTTTCCCAAATGACCTTGGTTCAAGGTCATGACACACCCTTGGGTCATGGGCAATCTTTGTGTGAAATGAGAACCTACCAAGTTTATCCATAAGAAAGATATGGACCGGACAAGAATTATGAAATTTTTCTTCCAGTGACCTTGAACTTCCCCAAATGACCTTGGGTCAAGGTCATGACACACCCTTAGGTCATGAGCAATCTTAGTGTGGAGTAGTAGATTCTAATGTCCCTCTTTAAGAAAGATATGGACCGGACACGATTGCACAGACAGACGGACAGACAGCTAGACGGACGGACGGACAGCTAGACGGACAGACGGACAAGGTGATTCCTATATACCCCCCCAAACTTCGTTTGCGGGGGGTATAATTATCACGCTTTGCTTAAATTCAAACAGGCAGATAATAACCTGCTTTTGTTCAAAAGGTGTTTTAATAGCCAACGCTAGATGTTTCATAAATCAAAACATGTGGGCCATGGGTTTTGATTACCCGTGCGGAACTAATGTTACCACGTGTATTTGTTACCTGCATTATCATGCATATTAGTTTTTATCGACAATTTTTGGTTTTAAAAATTTATTCAATAACTATATCGAACTTACCAAAGATGTGGAAGGATGCTATTTTGTCGACCTGCATTAACACATTTATTATCGTCCCGTGGTTTTACTGAAAATCTGTATCCACTTATCGTAATAGCTAATATATAGGAAAGTCATTCAACGTTTAGGACCTATAGTCAAGACTTTTGATAACTGCACTTGTTTTATTTAATTATTTATTAAATCTAATTATTTATATAAACCTAGACCCTGTTTTTTGCGGAATAAAGACAAGGGAGGTAACTTTTATTATATGCATGTACCAATTCCGCGAATTCAAGAAACCACGATCCTGTCAGATGAGAAGAAAATGTGAAAATTACAACCCGTGAAATTTATCCCCTATACAGTACTTTTTTTTTCCTTTAGGCCAAATTTTTTTTATTAGTTGTTTTACGGATCCGCCGACCCCATTTTTCTAAGTTTTGGAAAAAAAATAAAAATTCCATTCAATCCTTTTTTTTATAATCGCCGATCGAACTTTACTTCAAACATATTTAAAAAATCCGGAAATGACCGTACATTGTTTGAATTTTACTAAGTTGTGATCAGAATCATGTAAACGCTTCTACTATCGACCCTTTTAAAAAATCTCTGCAAGCGTTTTATAGTCAGAGATGAAATAAGTGTGACGGCCATGTGAAACATTTTAGGTTTTTCAAAACAGAATATAAATGTTTTAAGAACAGTAGTAAATGTATAAATGTATGACAGTTTTTATGAGCTGATCAGGCTGGTGATTATTCTATATATAGAGGATATTCAATGTTTTGTAGTTGAATATGGAATTTATTTCACGAGTGGGACAGGATTTTTGATATTTTCACGAGTGCGAAGCACGAGTGAAAATATCAAAAAATCCTGTCTCACGATTGAATAATAAATTCCATATTCAACTACAAAACATTGAATTTTCTGTTTATTACATTTTAAAAAAAAATTCTTTGATTTTTCCTTTGCCTCTGTCTTTTTGTAATACAGTCATAGGCTCGTGACGTCATAATTGAGCGGTTGAGATGTCATAGCTAAGTGAGGTAAAACACTGTAAACATGGATTTAGCAACATATTTTTGGTAATTTTTACAGTTTTATTCGCTGTCAGAATGGTTTATTTATTTCCATCTATCTTATACTAGGACAAAGAAGATTTTGTTACAGCAATCTTCGTTATGGGAAGGGAAATCGAGAGTTTTCCCGCACTTCTGATATTTGTCACACTGTGACAGGATATCATTTTGATATCCTTTCACACTGTGACAGGATATCATTTTTATTCAATGAATAAATTACAGTATTTCACAAGTAAAAATGTAATAAATGATGTTATCTGATCAGCGAATGGAGTGTGGTGGTTGAGGAAATTACAGCCAAAACCAACGAATCTGATGTCGTCACTTGCACTCCATCCGACACCCATAACTTTTCTTTGAGGGTTTGGCGAAGTTTTAAACAGTTATATCTAATGGTTAGTTAACAGTTCATATATTATTTAAGACATTTTTAAAAGCACATGTTTGACTGTATTTTAAAAATCTGCAAGACGTGTTGTCGTCAGAGAAACAAAAGATGTGATAGAAATGTTTCTTAAAGTTTTAAATTTCAGATTTGGAAAAGGAACTGACTCATCAGGATGTTCTTAGACAAAAAAATGTTTGTATGAGAGTCATAGGAATGTGAAACCCAATGGGGATGACTTATCATTCTAGTAAGTTTATTTGTGTCCATTGATTGTGCACTGAATTTTAGTTTTATACTGTTTAATACTGTTTAAGAAAAGGTATTATCTGAATTTGATTAAACTTTTATTATTTTACAGGGGGTTGTGTAAAATTTGCTGAAGTGTGTCTTTCTGTGGAAATGTGGACGTACATGTAGCAGTGACAGGACACCCGTATCCAGTCATAGACATACACAGAAAAGTTTAGCATTGTTCACATAATATGTCTCTGCTCGAATCGTTCTCTTTTAGTGAGGAATGCCAAGAAAGACATTTCTGTGCAATGTTCTGAGGTTGATTACCCCAACTGCTTTATATGCTGCATATTAAAATTTTTGAACATTGAACACTTCTTCTTTTTTTTTTTTTTTTTTTTGTAGCCACCCAATGGATATTTTCCCCCAAAAAAATCCGTAAAACAACTAATAAAAAAAAAATGGCCTTACTTTGACTGATTTTTCAAAATTTAATCAATATTTGCTAAATCTATACATTTCGTGCACAAGTGGAACATCTTGAAAAAAAAAAAAAAAAAGTAAAGCAGATAAAGCCAGATATATTCCAGAATTTCATATATTCTCTTCCATTTTTAAGGTTCATTGATACTCTGATAAGAGAGATAACTCTTAATAACACAAATGTCCATTATTTCTTTATAGATTTGCCAAGTTGAAGTGTCTTTTTTGTCTAATTTTGCCCTGCAAGCTATGGTACAATTGTTTGTATTTTACTTATAAAATAAATTTCTTTTGGAAAATCATTAAAGTTCATCAACATTTTATACGAGTGAGCAGCAGGTTAATGTACCTTAATACTTTTTTTTTTTTTTTTTGGGGGGGGGGGTTAATACATGTAATTTTGTATTTTTAAAAACATTACTGAATCAAACAAGGTTCATTTCTTCCCCCATTCATGTACCAATTTCTCAAAACTGTCCCAAATTTACGTACATCCAATTGCAGATCATATATATTCTAATTGTGACACTTGGACTCTAACCTGTGATATTTGAAGCTGTAGATCATTTTGTGATTTGACCAGCAATTCCAGTTGTTGTTTTCCACCCTCCACTTGCTGTTCCATCTTTGATTCTTCCTCCCTCAGTGAATTTAGTTCCACTCTTAATTTCTCCAGCTCTTTCTCTTGGTTCTTGAAATTTAAATAGAAAAGAATTTTATAAATTATAAAAGAACATGACAAAACAACTTGAATCAATGAAATACAAAATGTACCAGTAATGTAAAAACCGTCCATTGCCCTGATTTGAAGTCTTTTTCTCATTCTCACAGTATTAAATACTCGTGTAAAATAAGCAATCTACAGTTATGAATATTTATGAGAGACAATTTCACCTCTGATATGTTTCAGCATGGTGATCACTAAACATTATAACTGCAATGACTACTCCCTATCATGCTGATGAATATTCATGAGACACTCTACCTGCACAGACTTCTCCCTGTTGTTGATCTGTGACCGTAACTCCTCAATACTTTTCAGTTCCATGTCACATTTTTCCTTCAAATCACGAACATTACTTTCAAGGTCAGATTTCTGAAAAAAAAATATTTTAAAGTAAATACTAGTACTACTTTTTCGTCGAGTTCATCCAGACATTTCTGAGCCTGCTCTTTTTTGTTCAATTTAATGTTTTACCTTTTCATGGAATTTGTCGAGATATTTTTAAGCTCATTCTCTCTGGTTCTAATTAATGTTTCACCTTTTCGTCGAGTTCGTCAAGATATTTTTAAGCTCATTCTCTCTGGTTCTAATTAATGTTTTACCTTTTCGTCGAGTTCGTCCAGACATTTCTGAGCCTGTTCTTTCTGGTTCTCTAGCTGTTGTAGTGTGGCTGTAATGGCGTCCAGTTCTTTCTGTAACATGGCCACCTCACCATTACAAATCTTAATGTCAGCTTCTGTCTGGACATTGTCTCTCTCCAACTGTAACTTCTCCCTGTCAATAAAACATATCTAAGATAGAATTATTCCAGATAATCAATGTATACAAAAACTCTCTCAGATAGAATTATTCCAAATATAAATCAGTTTAAACCAAAAGTACATGATCTCAGACACTCTAAAGTTAAGTTAAGTATTGGAAATAGGAATACTAGAGCCGAGCTCGTTGCAAAGCAACGAGTAGGTCTTCCGTCCTGTTTGACCGGAAGTGCATCTGTAACTTTTATTTTTAAAAAAAAAATGAGTAATGAAGTCCAAAAATGGTTTAATCCTCCAAATCTATATTAATTATTACAATATTAAGCCATTTTTTGCTACTTATGGTTTGACCGGAAGTGACAATGACGGACAGAAAATTTAAGTTTATGCTCCTAAAGATATCAGAGCTCCAGATAAGGAGCGTATTTGCAGAAATACGCATTAAATTTTATAAAATACGCATTGAAAATTAAAATAGAGCATACAATTACGCATTAGCAATCATAGATATGCAATGCACCACGAAAGTACTGCGTACAAGTTGAAGAATACATGTACGACTTACTTAATGATACCAATAGAGGTTAACACAGTGTTTGATTTTTCTGAAAACGAAGTACAAATTTAAAAGCCTTTTAGTGACCAGGAATATTCTAGTAATGACGAACGATCTCCATTTCGGGAGGAAGAATCGGAGATATAGATTAAAATCAATTTCTGGGTAGAAATTAAGACTATGCACTAGGCATAACTTTTTTTTATTATGGGTTCATAGCCAATTTTTCATCTCTCTCAACTTGCCAT